TCTTGAAAACGATTTACGATGTAAATCGCGAGACAACTAAAGTTTTCGCAGAATCGAACTAGACGTAATCGCGAAAAAGTACAAAATGATGAGCGGAAAAGCGGACGCAGCAAATCGATTCATAAAGGAGAAACTTCAGCTGTTGTCAAGTGGAACATGAAACGGATTTGCGATATCTACTTACTTACGGATCTTCGATGATTCATTTTCATGCTTGTTCAATCTCATTCGTACCTTGACTCGTGTATTAAAGTCAATTCGAATAAGCAGCAAGTCACGAACGATCCACGATCGAAATAGATAATGACAGTCAAGCGATAGATTATCCTCTGGAGGAAACAAGATGTCTCACACGATAAAGAGTTATAATAATCAACGTATTATTTCAAACGCAACGCAATCTTTTTAAAGTCTTTTCATGATTTCAAATTTAGTCTGATGACAAACCATATATCGCCAGATTCATTATATACAGTTAAAAAATTCGTGTTAATTCGACATTAAAATATTAAATAATGAGCAAAATTACAATAAGAGATTGATTAATCAAAGATGATTAACATAAAACAACAGAATAATAGCATTAATCATCTCTAATCAATCTCTTCATTCATTTTCCCATGTTAAAATATTTATTTGATTTCGTTTTTAAAAGCACAAACATTGTGAGTTCTAGCCTTGTAACTGATATGGGAGAGATTCTCGATAACTTATTGTGGCTTTCCTGGATATTGCAAAAATAGATTGGCATCTTCCAATTTTGTATGCGTAAACAACGAGCAGTACTAAGTATGTAATTTTTTGCGCTATTATTGCTAAAGAAGATTAGAAGACTAATTAAAATGTATATTATTATCGTTCAATGATTTTTGTTTGTTCTGCAGCTCTATAAAGTTAGCAGGACCAAATCAGTAAAATTAAATCGAACCTATTTTTAATTTTTAGTATTTATTTTATACTGATCGTCTAACTTTTGCTTGACAAAAATACTTAGTTCAATAAAAAATTATTACTTTGTCAATGTACTTTTGTATGTAGTCTTCGTTTTCTGTCATCTTACTTACGTTTTAGCTATACGTATGGACGATATAATAGACACTATTTTCGCAGTTTGACTACTATTCCGTTAGAAATAGACGACCGCTGATTACTGTCGAAATTGTTATTTTATTATAAAAAAGCACTATCTAAGAAGATCATCAGATTTGATTCTTCTTTAACAAAGATTATCATTATCTTATCAGAGATTCGATCGCTACTGTCAAAATTAATACTTTGTCATAGCTTCTCTTTAAAAAAAAAAAAGAAGCTTCTTGGGGGAAAAGCGATGTGTGCACTTAAAAAAAAATAAAATTTATAACTGTTAATTGGAAATTTATTCCGTCTGCCAGAGAACCGGAAATTTAAAAAAAACTGGAATTTTCGACCGAAAACTGGAGTGGCGGTGATAATAAATATTTTATTCTTTTACAGATCTGGAATTGAGAGAGTACAGGAAGAAATTTATAAGAAAAACACATAGAATATCACAAGAAATGACGTAAACAAATAAAATGAAAAATTTTTTAAACATAAATATGTCTTCTCAAAACATTTGATTTTTAAATGTATGATGCTAAGATTTTTTAAGTGAACATTTCAGATTTTATATCTACGTTTTTTGAAATATTTGAGTCATTAAGGATATGGTCGAGTAGCCACTACGAATACTTCGAAGCATTCATAGCGACAACTCGGCTGCACCTTTAATCACCCTTTTTTAACACATACCCAAAATGCAAATCTTGTTTTATACAAACTCTATTTTTACAAAATTTTGAAATTTAAGATGAATAGTAATAAATTCTATACCTTAAATTCTTTAACAGGTTTGGCCGAATAATATGTATTTTAGCGAATTTCTCCTCGTCATCAGTATCCTCTGATATCAACAACCGATATTTGATACGTGCTTTGTCCATAATGAGACGATATTACGCTCTCAATGTGACGAGATATCGTATCCATTATAAATGCCCATTATAAATATTCGATCGATAGTATATCCGATATCGCGCCGACATACAAATGACCATCCGCCCGGCATTTTAATATGTTATGGATACAACGCTGAGATTGCTACGAGCAGCATCGATGTAATTTCCTCTCATCTCTTTATGCATTGTTTGCAGCGTACATGCGAACGGGAACGCGAATTGAACTTATGGCACGATCGAATGAATCTACAATACGCGACGCAGCCATTACCGATTCAGTCGGTTCTAATCTGAACTAATCATACACATGTATGGTAACGTAATCTCCAATATCCTCGGTCCATATTGAATATAGGTGTAAACGCCAGAGGGAAAGCCGGAATCTCTACGCTTTAGTTCAAACATGTGCGCGTTGACTGCTCAGATGACTTCTTGTAATAATGAAGAGATAAACATGATGACACCTAACATCCAACAAAGCAAGGCCATAGGCTGCTTAACCAGTTAAATTTCAATCAGCTAATTGTAATTTTCCACTACAAGTTAAACTTGACAATTAACGCATTAAATTGAGAAAAATTGTTAAAATTGTATTTTAAAAAAATTCTATTAGGTGTACAACTTTGCTTCCGCTGTTTTCCTATATGGCTTTAGCGGTAAGTGGTGGTCGAAATAAATAGATCATAGACGTCATACAATAAACTTGGGCATCTGTCAACATAACCCCATAGAAACATTAGTCGATTTGTGTCTGCATCATAAAGTTATTCTCGATTGAAAATGTCAGTTTACGAGCCAAATTCTCGTCATTTGCGGGAGGTTTTAATTTTTTACTTCAATGAAGAAATCTGCGATTGAGGCTCATCGATGCTCTCAAATACTTATGGTGAGGCCGCTATTAGTGAAAAAACGTGTCGTGAGTGGTTTCAACGCTTCAAGAACGGTGATTTTGACGTCCAAGGTCATGCTCTGTATTTGGTGGGACCAGCTCGGCGTAATGTATTATGAACTGTTAAAACCGACTGAAAACAGGCGATCGGTATCGAACGCAATTGATGCGTTTGAGCCGAGCATTGAAAGACAAACGGCCGCAATACAACGAGAGACACGATAAAGTGATTTTGCAGCATGACAATGCTCGAGCCCATGTTGCGAAAGTGGTCAAGACATACTTGGAAACGTTGAAATGGGAAGTCCTACCCCACCCGCCGTATTCTCCAGACGTTGCTCCCTCTGACTATCACTTGTTTCGATCAATGGCACACGGCCTGGCTGATCAGCACTTCCGGTCTTATGAAGAAGTAAAAAATTGGATCGATTCGTGGATAGCCTCAAAAGATGACCAGTTTTTTCGACGCGGGATTCGTACGCTACCCGAAAGATGGGAGAAAGTAGTGGCCAGCGATGGACAATACTTTGAATCATAAATGTATAACCAGTTTTTTACAATAAAGCCTCGAATTTCGGAAAAAAAACGGCGGAAGCAAAGTTGTACACCTAATATTAAAATTCTCTAATAGCATTGATACATAATTTTTTTTCGTTAAAATCCTTTAATACGGATTTAACAAAATTTTCTTTAAAAGTATAAAAAGCAAATTTTAAATTACATTAAAAATATTTTCTTACTAAAGAGGAGTCATTATAAAATTTATTGTTGCAAGAGCATATGATAATTGCGCGATATTCGAATGTGTGTATTTTACTAAAATTTCATTAACAATGAAATTTCATTAACAATGAAATTTTAGTGAAATATACACGTTCAGATTATACTTAGATATGGATCTAATATTTCGGATTATATTTGTATATTAAATTCAAATATTATTATAATTTCAACAAATAAAACAAATAACATCAAGTTTCGACTATTGCGTAGGCGCATTTAAAAGTAAACCATTATTATATTGTACGTGCTGTTATTGAATACAATAATTACATTAATCATCCTTTTACACAATAATCATTTTCCGTTCGTTCGAATGTTATGAAATTTGAAGCAACGCTCAACGAAGGAAGGAGAATGTGCGCTTATATAATGCAAGCGTGATTGGAAATTATTATTAATATAATGAAAGAAAAGTAAAATAATGAAAACATCAATTTTCTGAGTATACAGAAATATATTTTCATAATATACGATCAATATGCAATCATGTTAACTATTTGATAAAAATTTTACTTTATTATGAAAATCAAAATTATTTTTGTAATATCGCAGGCGTATAAACGAAATCTTTTAAACCCTTTTTCAATTTTGTGATGCAAACCTTAAATTTTTAACAAATTATTTTAATTATTGATAAATAATACTTTGAAAATTTAGTGAATATTATATTATTTGATAAATTTTTATCAAATCAAATTCTTTTTTTCAACTTTCGAAAATGTTCGGTACACTCGATTCTTGACCTGTCTACTTCAAAATCTATTTCCGACTTGAAACTCTACGTCAACTTTTATCGAATTCTCTTGTTAACGAATGTTCAATTGAGTACCCATTGAAAACTAACAGCTCATTAAAACTGAAAACGATTTGACAGCCATTTCTACTGAATGCTGAACAGGAGAATTAAGAAATTGCCCAAAGGTTTAACGAATATTTAATTAGACAAGGAAAGCTTTACCTTCCCTAATTTATATAATTATCACCGAAATCTAAACAATTAGTTTGGATTCCTATGCGAATGCTCCCCAGATATCATGTTCTCCTTGTTTTCAATGAATATCAGCTAAAAAGTCCAATGAAATAATTTTCTCCCTAGGGAAAAAGGGGAAATTCCACTTCTTGAAGTAAAAAAATAAATCTAATATTACATTATGTTCATAAATGATATGAAAGATGTATGCAATTAATTATGTTGATCTTTTAGATTAATCTTTGTCGAATCGATTCTTTGATATTTGATTTTTTTGATGACTCGAAACTTGTAATTATGACTCAAGACGATTTAAAAAAATCGATTCTTCTGCTAAGATTAAGCATCGTTAGTGTAAAAGTTCTCTACCGAATATTTACAGATGGCGTAATTGAACGAGGCGATTCGACAAAAGAGACCGACCTAATTGATCCTCGTACGAGGCCGAAATTCATCAAAGATGTTTTAGCGCAAACTGGCGGAAACGCACTGCTGCCCTGCCAATTCAACAGTCCTGGAATAGTAAGTACATATAGTTGACGACACGCAAATATGTACGTTTAATATGAATACACGCGCCGAATAGCGCGCGTATATCGTCATTGTATGATGCACATACATTATACACACGGAGGAAGTTATGCTTGTGTGTAACTGTATGCATATGGCATGTACGTCATACGTTATTCACAGGGTTGGTAACTCGTTACTTCGAAGTTACTATCGAAGTTATAGTTAGAGTAAGTTTTTTTTAGTAACTGTAACTTAACTTAATTACTTTTTTTTATAACTAGTAACTAATTTAATAATTATTTTTACAGTCACTTTGTATTAAATTTATTCTGTATATACTAAAGAACTGTATATACTAAATTAAGTATTCTTCAAAAATATATCGTTCGCTAAAATGGCAGGTTACTTCCGAAAAGTACAAATTTTCGCGTGCAATTTCGTTCCTCGCTAAAACAGGTCGAGTAGAATGGTTTGTCTATGGGAGAGGAAAGTTAGAGTCCTCAGCGCACCGACCGCTCGCGGTTGCGCTCTTGCAACATTAATACCACGAAATTGCATCCCGGATAAAAGTCCTCCCCTTCTTTCATTTTATTCCCCTTGTTCAACCCTCTTGCGATGACCTGGAGGAAAATATAGTGAAATATAATAATGATGAAACGAGGACAGATCATGCGAAGTATGAATTTTTGGAAGATCAATATCTGTAATCTGATACAGCCTGTGCAAAAAATTAAAAATATAGTAAGATTATGCAAGATTATGCAATATGAGACATTGACAAGATGCTCACTGAAAGAAAGGATTTTGTTAATTTAACAAGTTACTAATACCTTTAACAAGTGATCAATAAATATGTGACAATAAATTTTGTTGTTGTGATTAGTTGTGATTGTTGCTGCTAGTCTGCTATATCAATCAATTATTAGTAACAGAAATAAACTATATAGAATCTAACTTATCTTTTGAATAGACTTCAAGCTTGTTTATGTAGAAATTGTAGATGATCATGGAGTTTTAAGTTGTAGGAAACTGACCAAGCACAGTCAAATATAGGGAGAACACTTGCTAGAATTAGTCAATTTCTTACAATTTGAGACTCTACAACCGTCTACGACTTTTATATATATATATATATAT